CTCCACTGCAGATTTGACTTCTGCATTGGGAGCGGAGCAGGGCTCCATGGAAGCACCGTCCGGGACAGCCGCAGCAGGCGAGGCAGCAGAGTCTCCGCAGCAGGAGCGCACCGAGCAGGGCTACTCGACTCAGGCAGAGTGGAGGTGGCAGCCGTGGCAGTGGCAACAAGGCAGTGCATGGGGTTCCTATGGCGGGAATGGCTGGTCTTGGGGCTGGGCTCCGAGTTGGAGCCATGAGCAGTGGAAATATACCGCGTGGGGAAATGACTCGGAGTCCCAGCAAAAGCCTGGGCAGCAGCAGTCATCAAACAGAGCGTCAGCGACGAGCTCTGGAGGCGGTGGACAGGAAGAGACAACCGGAGAGGCCAGCAGAAGACAATCAGCCTCAACGATGGAGGATGATACATGGGCTGGTGGAGATGGCACGGGATCTCTTGATGAGGACGGGATATCATCAAGTAAAACCTCTGCCCACAAGGCAAGTGGCAAGGACTTTATCCCGGAGTATGACGGCAGCGGACCTATGAGGGAGTATCAGCGCAGAGTGAAGCTGTTCGAGATGAGCACCGGGATAGATCCGACTTATAGAGCCCAGAAGCTGATGGAGAAGCTTACTGGGAATGCGTGGCTGGCAACTGAGACCATTCCGTTGGAGTCTTTGAAACACCCTGAAGGCGTTTCCCGCTTATTGGATCACCTGTGGAAGGAGTTAGAGCCTTTGGAGTTCCTGAGGACCTTCCAGACCTTGGCAGACTTTTACAAAGGGTTCAGACGATCCAAGGGTCAAGAGTTCGTGGCGTATGACATGGAGTTCAGACGTCACGGTCAAAGGCTGGAAGAGATAGGAGCGGGATTGGCAGGTGTGACTCGTGCGTATTGGTTTCTGGAAAAGGCCGGGCTGTCGCCTGAGCTGAGAAAGCAGGTAGTGGCGGCAGCCGGAGGCCAGTACGACTATGCGAAGCTCCGAAGCGCTGTGATGGCCATTGTTCCCCAAGTGAACAAAGAAGAGGAGCATCATGGGGGAGGACATCAAAATTCGAATGGCGGCAACCGCCAGTGGAGGAAGGCCGCTAAGGTACACGCCACCACCCATGAAGAAGAAGCAGATGATGCTGACTTTGACGACGCTGGTGCATCTGATGACGGTCAAATGCCGCCTGAACTTCTGGAAGAGGAGCTGCGTGTGCTCTTGACGCAGGCAGCACGCAAGCGGGCCCAGGTCGAGAAGGCCAGGGGTTTTACTTCTGGAAGTGGCAAGGGCAACGGCAAGGGAGAATCTCCAGATGCACGCGCCAAAAGGATCGCTGAACTGAAGCAGAGAATGCCTTGTTCAGCGTGCAAGGCAAACGGCAAGACAGTGTATGGGCATTGGCACGGGGATGCCGAGTGCCCATACAACAAGAAGTCAAGCAAGAGCGCTGGAAGTAATGTGATGGTTGTGGTGGAGGATGAGCTGTCGGACTCAGACGAGGATTACATGCCGTCCACTGTGAATGTCTTCCTGGCACACAGCGAGTCAGTGAGGGATAACCAGCCGGAACATTGGTGCGCGAGTGCTGTGTCGAGGACTGGGCATGAGCATGACTTCTTGTTGGCTTTGTCTGACACATGTTGCGCAAGATCAGTGGTTGGAGAAAAGTGGGCGAAGGCACACATGGCTCATCTGCATCAGGCTGGGGTGGATGTATACGTAGTGGATGAGGCGCGGCCCTTTCGTTTTGGAGCTGGGCCACGGATATCTTCGCAGTACAGTATTGTTTTCCCTGTGCAAGTTGGAGGGGCATGTGTCATTCCGTGGCTGAGGGTAAGTGTGGTCAATCAGGATGTTCCGTTGCTGCTTAGCAAGAATGCTCTGAAAGCCCTGGGTGCTAGATTGGATCTGGGACGGGCAAGGTTGGAGTTTGCTGAGCTTGAAACTGAAGTGGAGCTGATTGAAACACAATCGGGACTTTGTGGTTTCGAGATCAACAAGCCGGATGGTTTGTGCGCCGGACACTTGGATTTCCCTCCGAACGCAATGCTAGAAGGAGAGATGGAAGTCTCTTTTGGCAGACTTGTGGAGGAGTGTGGAATCATAGAGAGTGAAGTCCATTTGTGTCCCGATGTTGTCACAAGCGACACCTCCCTCAAGCTGGAATGCGAGGCGTTGGCGGCTAGGTTTCTGGAGGCAGGGAATTTCTCCTACGAAGCCATTCAAGAAGTAGTTGAGCGCCTTCCCGATGTTAACAGATCCAGGCAAAGGAGTATCAACGGCGGTAGTCGCAAACAAAGGCGCGGCATGATGGCTGGACTTTGGGCGCATGGTGGTTTCTTTGGGGTCGCTAAGACTGCCCAGAAGTTCCCTTAGACCATCAAGTACATCAACATGTTCATGCGAGAAAAGGTAGAGCATAACTGGACTTCATTGGTGGTGTTAAAGAATGTCATGACAAACATCCACACCGATGCCCATGATGCTACTGACTCACTTACGGCAACGGTGACGTTTGGTCAGTTTGATGGCGGGCAGCTGTGGGTGGCAGGTTCTGATGAAGAGCACCATGGAAATCCGGCTAAGAAGTATGCTAAGGGGAAGAAACTTCAAGGTGTAAACGTTGACGCCCGAGAGAAGCCCTTCTTCCTGAACCCCAAGCTCAAGCACGCCGCTCAGACTTGGTCGGGGACGAGATGGTGTTTGTCCTGTTATACGGCAAGATCCGAGCCTCAGATGGACGACAACATGAGGAAGTCTCTTACCGAGCTGGGTTTTCCTCTTCCGGCAGTCCCGGCAACCAGGACCTTTGGGAATAGCAATGCCGTGTGCAGCACTTCATCTGAACTCCAGGAGCCACTTAAAACTAAGGATGGGGTGACCAGCACATGTGTGAGTACTCCGCACGCTAGAAACAGCAGACCTGTGGCTCAGCCTGAAAGTGGTAGTGTGAAGCATCCTGATCCTCAAGGAAGAGGTGTCGAGTGTGAGGATGGCAAGCAAGTTCGTCACTCCAAAGCGCAAGGAGGAGTACGTCCACGCCGTCCATGTAAGAACCAACTTGGCCATGGAGGAACTCCGCAAGCACGATGTGGAGCGGCTGAAGTTGATTTGGAGCATGGTCAAGCCGAAGAAGCCCCAGTCTCCCCTTCCGGTGGGATGGAAGAAATTCGATGTGGCCGCCTTGAAGGAGATCTACGAGAAAGAAGTCTGCCCAGACCTGGGACGGACCTTGGACCGGCGCTGGGCGCGGTGGAACCGCCCTCAGCTCGTCACAGAGATAGAGATGTGGGTCACCGAGGTGATGGGCGATATGCCTCCCGAGGATGTGTACTCCGAGACGCCGATGTGCCCACAGTGCCAGATACCTCTCGTGGTGAGGACCAACCGTCTCACAAAGGAGGACTTCTACGGGTGCGTCCGTTATCCAAGGTGCACCCAGACTCTTCCCCTGACTTACGGGGGCCGGCCTACCAAGGAAGTCCAAGACCAGTTGAACACGGAGAGGGAGGTCAAGGGCGGACGCGAAGAAGGACATCAAAGGGGAGATCCGGAAAACGGGGCCGAAGAGAACTTTGGTGGGGTCACGTCCGCGGCCAGAAAGCTCCGACGAGCAGCGAGCCACCTCGTCCGATGGGTCGTGGGTACGGACGGGGCGTGTTCCGATCGAGGAGAGCACCGACGGGGAGAAGGAGAAACCCCTGTACAACACCAACCTCACGCCAGAGGAGATGAAGCTGATCCACGACATGCGGAAGGCCAAGGCGAGCGAGGAGAAGTGACTTCCACTTCTGAGGCTTGCGCCACAGTTGGAACAGCATCCCAGAGTGAGCTGAAGCAGGATTCCGAAAGCGAGAGTTGTAAGAGTTGTAAGCCTCAGTCGATGCCAAGAAGTCCCAAACAGATTCGGGAATGCATTCTTGAGGGTGTTGAGCGTCGTAGGGCTGCTAAACGGGGCACGATTAAAAGACTTCTTGGCAACGCAAAGGCAGTTGCAGCCAGTGTGATGCTTGCATCATGTGCTGCTGTCGGAATGGCAATGCAAACTGTTCCCCAAGGGTCCATTGTGAGACCTGATCTTCTAGAGATTTTTGGCGGAGAAGCCCAGGTTACTCAGAAGTTTAGTCGTTGGGGATGGAATGCTGCCCGACCTGTGAGCTTAGGGTCTGATGATGCTGTGTGCGATGCTGATGGTCAGAGCCGGTTGCTGGAGTGGATCGAGCGCTGTCAGCCTCGACTTGTGGTTGTGACGTATCCTCGTAGGATATGGATGTCCTGTGTGAGTACTGGTGAGTCATCCTCCCAACAAGCGCGTAGGGCCCGAAAGAGGAGTCTTAAGCACCAGGGTTTCGTAAGATTTGTTGAACAAGTCTTCGAGAAACAAATCCGTCGAGGAGACGACGCCCTTGCCGAAAGTCCTGTGGGGGACGACTTGTTCAGAGAGACGGCTGTTAGGAAACTTGTTGATCACCCCCAAGTGTATACGACTGTTGTTTCGAGTAGTGGTGGAAGTGATAAGGGGTTGCCAAGGTCGTCTCTGTGGATGAGCACTTCTGTTGAGGTATGTGAAGAGATCGCCCTGAGGTGCACTGCCCTGACTAAGGAGTCAGACAGAGGTCCCAGCAAAGTCGCAGCTGCTATCTGCAAGGGTTACGTTAAGACTCTGAGACGTAAGGAGCCTAGCAGAATAAGACGCGTGCTTCGACAAGTTGCTGCACGTATCAGGGGGAGTGAGCATCAGGAGCTCATACGCGATCTCAGGTGGAACGAAAAGAATATCGCTAAAGCGCTTGCTAGGTGGAGTGCTGTTTTTGCTGTGGGGTCAAGCGCAGACGCCCCACAGCCTGATGCTCCCATGACTGGACCCCTGGAGGACTCAGATGGTGACGAAGAGCTGATTGAGGACAATGGAGATCCTGACCCGGGTCATTCGCTCCGAAGTTCCTTGGCTCACGATGGCATAAGGTTTGAGATCCCTCCAGGACGTAAGCTAAGTGCTGAAGTGAAAGAAGGGTTGAAGAAGGCTCATTGTAATTTGGGGCACCCCAGTAAGAAGGATTTACAACGGTTCCTGCGACTTGGGGGCGCTAAGCAAGAAGTTGTTGAAGCTGTGGACTGGATGCGATGTTTGTCGTGCGCTCATTCTAGTAGACCTAAAACTCATCGGGCTACAAATATTCCTCCCTGCTCAGTCACCTTTGGAGATGAGGTTCACCTGGATTGCATCTGTGTGCACGATTCCGGAGGGGAGAGTCATTGGTTCCTGTCCATTATCGACCGAGCTACTAGCTATCATGCGTGATCACAGTCCTGTTGAACTTAACAAAGCTTTCGATAGAGCTTGGTCTAAGTGGGCTGGGCCTCCACTTCAAGTCAGTGTCGATTTTGAAGGAGGTTTCCGGGGAAAAGAGTTTTGGACGAAAGTGTCCGAAGCCGGCACAGCGCTGGTCTCTATTGCAGGGACGGCTCACTGGCAAGCGGGTAAGATTGAAAGGCACAACCAAACCATCAAGGACATGCTTCGCACCGTGGTCCGTCAAACGAATCCTAAGGGTCGAGAGCATATGCGGTCTGTTGCTAGAGAGGTTGCTTGGTCCAAGAACACGCTTGCCCGTGAACACGGATGGGCGCCAGTTGCACTTGTCTTCGGCAAGGAACCTCGAGTGTTTGGGGAGATGCACCAAGAGGGTGCGCCGCACGCTTTTCATCCGCAAGTAGGGGATTCCGGTAGCGAAGTTGCTAGGAGAATGCAGTACAGGTATCATGCCAAAATTGAGTACATCAAATCCCAGGCCCGACAAATGCTGGCTCGAACGGCCCACAACAGGGTTCGTAAGATTACTACTCCGAGGATAGGACAGATGGTGTTCTTTTGGAGGGGTGAGCGAAAGAAGGAACCTAGTCGGTGGGTTGGTCCTGGTTATGTTGTGGGACTTCAGGGGAGTAATGCCTGGGTCGCTATTGGGGGTCGGTGTTTTCTTGTTGCAGGAGAACATTTGCGGGCCGCTTGTGGAGACGAAAAACATTTTGGCGATCCCCAAATTCAGAAAGCCATTGCTCTGTTTAAGAAGACCCCCAAAGAAGCTACCTTCGAAGATTTGACTATGCAGCCTGATCCCACTGAAGAACCTTTGGAGGTCGAACAGCAGCCTTTGATGCAGGAGGTGGCTAACGCGGTTGGGGATAGTCAAGAAGGGGTTGCTGAGCTACCTAGAAGCCTTGCGAAACTTGTGAACACTCAAGGGTGGCAAAAAGATGAGGCCGGGAATCCTGTTGTTGTTAGTCAAAAGGCTTGGGCTTATCGAACCCCCGAAGCGAGGTTGGATGTTCAGAGGTATCCCTTTAGAACTACTTGGGGTCGATTTGAAGGGATTTGGAAGTGCTTGGAAAAGGACGTCAAATGGATTGAGCTTGACAACCCCAACAGCTACCTGCTTGAAGCCCCTGCTGAGCTGCTTGTGACAGTGTTTCAAGGGAAGACGAAACGGGAGATGTGCCTGGAAGATGTCCCATTGAGTATGAAGAAACAGAAGGGTGGACCCATGGAGACGCATCCTGTCCATACTGTTTTCCCGGGTAAGCATATGAGCAAGAACAAACTGAAACGCATGATGGACAAAGAAATCCCCTATGAGAAGATTCCTGAGAGAGAGAGGGAACTGTATCGGGAAGCGCAGGAGAAAGAGTGGAGTAGTTGGAGACAGTACGACAGCTGTGAAGTCCTGAGTGAAGAAGAAAGCGCCAAAATCATGCAAGAGTGTCCTAACCGAGTTCTCCCGAGTAGATATGTGTATAGGAATAAGAATGCGGGACTTGTTGATGAGCAGGGTAAACCCCTTCCTACGCGGGCTAAGGCCCGATTATGTCTTCAAGGACATTTGTGCCCTGATGCTCAGACAGGGCAAGTTCAGGTGGATTCTCCTACAGTGGAGCGAGTTTCAACCATGCTGTTCCTGCACATGGCGGTGAGCTACGGGTGGACTAAGAACTGGTATATAGGTGATATCAGTAATGCTTTTCTGCAAGGTGCGCCGTTGGTGGGGAAACAGCCCATGTACATGAAACCGCCTAAGCAAGGACTCGCTGGGGTCAAACCTAACCAGATCCTGAAACTGCTTAAGCCGGTTTATGGTAGACCTGACGCCCCCAGAGCTTGGTATGAGGAATTAGCCAGAGTCCTGACGGGCGAGCTTGGTTTTTGCAAGTCGTACATCGATCCGGCCGTCTTCATGCTTCGCGACAACCAGGGAACCTTGATAGGGGTTATGGTGGTGCATGTTGACGACCTGATGTTTTGTCATGATGGCTCTGAAAAAGCTAAGCAAACCGCTGAAGCTCTTGCCAAGAGGTTTCCGTTTGGGACTTGGGACCGTGTTGCTGATAAGGCAAGTGGGGTCACATACTGCGGGAAGGAAATCCGCCTCCAGGACGCCGGAGGAAAACCGCAGATTGTTTTATCCCAAGACGGGTTTATTGACGGACGGCTGGAGGAAATGGAGGTGTCTAAGGAGAGAAGACGGAATCAAGATTTGTATGCCACGGAGGAGGAACGTGGAAATTTCCGTTCAGTCGTTGGTAGCTTGCAATGGCTGGCCACTCAGTCTCGTCCTGATTTGGCCTTCGAAACGAACCAGCTTCAGAAGAGAGTTGCGGACTTGAGGGTCGGGGACTTGATGAGGGCCAACAAAGCAGTCAGAGAAGCAAAACATCATAGGATGCGAATCGTCTTTGAGGACCTGGGCAGAGACTCGCAGCTGGTAGTATACTCGGACGCGGGGTTGTACTCGAGTGTAGGGGTAGAGATCTCTGAGCAGGAGGCTGGCGACGTTTTGCAATCCTCTTTTGACAAACGTCTTGTTTACTCCCAAAAGGGTGGCGTGGTTGGATTCGTGAAGCGAGGGTCAACCGAAATCAAAGGTATCCCTAGTCACATCAACATTGTTGATTGGAGAAGTAGCACCAATAAAAGAGTGGTGGAATCCAGCTTCGCCGCTGAGACACACGCCGCTCTTATGGCCCTGGGCATGGGACACTTTTGTCAGGTTTTGACTAGTGAGTTGAGGTTTGGATCTGATGTTGTGGGGAGTGTTGAGGATGATGGATGGAATGATCTTGTTCCTATGACTCTGGTGACCGATTGTAAATCTATTTATGACACTGTTCATAAGGATGGGCAGCATATAAGTGACAAAGCGAGTGCCGTTCATGCCGTGCTTCTCCGCCAGATGCTGAGCACGCGAAGATCGCAGTGCAAGACTTGTCTTCTGTGGGTTCCAACTCGGCATCAGATTGCTGACGGGTTTACGAAGGGGAACCGAGGGAAGGAGCTCAGAGAGCAAGTCGCCAGTGGAGTAGTTTTTCGAGAAGCCGCGGTGAAGAGGGGCAGAGTTTCTGATCAAAAAGAGATTGTTAGCAGTGTGAAAGTTGGGCCTGAAGCTTGATCAGAAACATGCTAAGCTCTTCTAGAGAGGTACATCAGCCGCGGATGTACAGGCGTGCTGTAGCCGCAGTGGCTCCTGGAGCTTGAAGGAAAAGTAGCTGCGAGGGTTTGTGGCATGGCGGACTAGGCTCCACTGCAGATTTGACTTCTGCAAGGCTGCCTGGAAACATCTCAGCGAGGAAGGCCATGAAAACAAACATGCAACACATTCAATGCACAGATGGAGTGATGGTTTTCCAGTAGGAGTTGTACTACTCTTGACAAGAATGCTAGCACTAGAACGGAAAACAGCCCTCAACATGGTAACCAGAGAATCATCAGCACGGCTGCGGTCAGCAGCATCATGAGCTGAATTATGTGATGTCAGTAGCAGATTCCGCGCTCATGCTGCGCTCCTCCGCCTAGTCCAGGAAATTGGATGAGCTGTGCGATGATTGCTTTGATGCCTTCCGAGAAGCGATGGACACAGGTGCGAGGGCCGTCTGATGGCAGCAAGAGCAGTAACAACAGCAACTATGCCTGGCTGCTCCTGCAGAGCACCTAGCTTCACAATAAGGCCAAGACTTAGGGGAGCAAACAAATGAGCTCTTATGCGTAGAAGAAGCATTACTTGTATTCTTTGTCCTCTTATCGGTTTTGATTGCAGTCCCAGTTGTGAGATAGATAGACCCCTGCCCTCGCAGATGTTACTTGCCGTCCCAGACATCTGGCTGCAGGAGCTTTTGCTCTACTGGGGCACTCTATAGGCAGGACACTGCTGAATTTGAGTACACAGGAGGGGATGCAGGTCGACAAGCACATTTCGGGGCCTGTGCATGAATACCTGCCATAACATACCATGAAGAGCGAGCAACATCTCAAGGCTTAGCATGATCAGACACGTTGTATGGTAAACACCGGCGTAGAAGGGGCGAGGCCTGTCAGCCAAGACGAGTAGATGGCTGTATCATGCTGTATCTGAAAACAAGGTCAAGTCAGGAACCCAAAACAATCCGGAACACAATCAAGACCGAATGGGTTGTAGCCGGAGGCTGAGAACGTAACCCCGATGCGATCTCGTCAGCCTCACCCATACCCCGGCCCGCGACGGCGCACCTGATCCCTACTGCGATACCCTCCGAATGCTCGCGCGCCATGCGCGCCCTTCTACTGACTCTTACTGCGTAGACCTGCACGCCCACTCCGGACCCCCTCCGTGGCCCAATCCTCGCACTCCCGCCTTGCATTTCTCCGCGAAGAACGTTTCTCCGGAAGATCCCTATAGACCCAGCATCAGGAGCGTCAGCCAGTGCTGCCTCCAAAATGCCCTAGACGCCGTCCCGGCTTGCCAAAGCCCCCAAGATCCAGCATCATGAGCGTCGGCCGGTCCTGCCTCCAAAATGCGCTACCCCGTCCCGGACTGCTTGCGGCCCCAAGACCCATGAGCGTAAGCGGTCCTGACTCCAAAATGCGCTACCCTATCCCGGAGTGCAGTTTGCCTCCAAAATGCCCCACGCCCTTCCCGAGCGCCTTTTGGACACCGGAAGGCCCCAAGACCCGGCATCATGGCTGTCAGCCAGCCCTGGATCCTCCGGCAGCAACATGTCCAGCAGCCCAGGCGGCTCCTTTCCCGCGCTGTTCCAAGCGCGGGTCGTTCCGAGGTGCACTTGGATGTTGGCATGCTGCCGGAGGGAGTCCTGGCGGCAGTGCGCGCCATGCCCCGCTGACGGATCGGCCACCGCTTGTGAGAGGCGGGCATTCCAGTTTTTGCAGGCTCGGCCACGGGCCAAGCCACAATTTCACACGTGATTGCTTTTGCAGAGAGAAAATGAATGCTGTAGTTTCTTGTCAAGGGAGTGTGGGCGATTTTGCACGATGAGAAGGGCTCCCCTGCTAGCCCCCTAGCGTACCTGTCGGTGCCGTATCGCTGCCCCTGCTAGCACCGTCCCCTTCACGCGTCTTCGCGCACCCCTAGCGTACCCTTAGCGTACCCCTAGCGTACCCCTAG